TTTTTGCAACTTTGAATAAATATTCGCGGCATTTTGAGTGGTCGAGAGGAACGAAAATGATGCAGGGAGTTCTGAGGACCGCTGCCTTTTACATAACTTCTGCGGCGAGCGGTCCGAGATTTCGACGCTTAGATTTCGCAGTCGACCCCATCGGGACGCCGATTTTATGGCCAGTCCCACAAACGTGCAAATGCAAAATCCGTTTATTTAGAACTCTTTGGTCCGTTGTCCGGTTGTTACTTGCTTGGATCCTTCGAGGGCGCAGCGGCTGTCGGCGTCGGACTTCCACTCTAAAAGCGCTGTGGTCTAACGGATTCGAGAAAGCCAGGAGTCGAATTTACAAGATCTTCAAAAATGCTAAAACCATAGTTCCAAATTTTCACACCTCGAGAAACAAAATTCCGAATTTTCAGCGGAACGCCGTCGATAACATCGTTTTTTTGAAAGCTGACATATCAGAGTTATGAATTGTCAGCCTTCGAACATTAAAATTTCAGATTTTCGTTAGCTAGGTTTTTTTTAAGTTTACCCCCCGCCCAGCCGGCGCCCAACTGTTTGGGACCTAGCTTTCACCAAGCCCCACCAGGGCTTTTAACGAGCCTTTTTCTAAGTGAAGAAGGCTAACACAAAAAGCGTCAACTTTTGTCTAACATTTTTTTGTGACAAGATGTATGGTAATGGCCAAAAACTTGACTTGCACTATGCCCGTGCGCAGGGGCGTAGCCAGAAAAAAATTTCGGGGGGGGCCCCGAAAAATTTTTTCCGAAAAACTCAAAAAATTAGCGAGAAAACAGCGCCGCAGGCGAAAAATTTTGTAAAAAAGGCTACATCGCTTTACAAATAGCAGTAAAAACGTGAAAAAATAGCGCCGCAGGCGGCAAATTTTTTGAGAAAATAAAAATCATAAGGGTCCCCCCTTATGAAATTTTCGGGCCCCGGCCGATTTCGGGGCCCGGGCCCCCGGGGCCTGTATTACGCTACGTCCCTGCCCGTGCGTAAGTTTCCTACCGGCGTGCCATCCGGTCCCTTCGAAAAGTCATTTGTGTTGGCGCCGTCATTCTGAAACAACATCCAAAACAGTCGAAAAAGCATTTTTCTAAAAATTACCTTAATTAGTTTCAGCTAAATTTTAGGGTAAACATAGACCAAGTGGGTGGGGGGCGGAATACCGGGGGCACGCATTATTTCTAATATTTTAAACTATTGTAAAATTTTGCTAGTGCGCCAGAGAGCGTTGAAAAATCTTTTAACGGAATGAATTTCTGCCCGAAATAATGTAACGGAAATTTTTTATCCATAAGCAAAAATAGATCAAAATCCATGGGCGGTGGCGGTACGAACAAAATCCATGAGACCCATAAGATACCGGGCGGGGAAAGGCAAATTTTTGGGAGTTTTGAGATTTTCAAAACGCCAATCGATAGAACTTCACCAAATAGGGAATATAAAAATTATTATAAAAGTTTTATAGCATGAAAACTATTTTTGAGACCCATTGGCGGCACCTAGGATGACAGGGGTAACATCTTTTTGGCGTATTGAATATTTTTTGATACTCTGAAAATGAAAAAGTCTTCGACCCGTTTTGGTTTCGACCCGGTTCGATAACAACTCTAGCCCTGGTGACGCTCGGCCATCTTTCCCAAGGGTCTTTAAAGGGGCGCGGAAGTGCCAAGTATAAGCCCTTTTTGGGAGCGGGCCTTAGATTTCTGGCAATTTGCGAATTATAGTGTTTTCACAAAGAAATCGGCAAAGATCGAAAGAGCCAGGGCTCTCCCTCCACCCGCTGCGGCCGCTGGCAGTTTGCGGAAAATATAAGGCCCCTCCCACAAGGGCTGATGTTTGGCACTGCTGTGCTCTTTAAAAACGGCCTGCTTCCACGTTAACCTACCGGAATTTTACAAATTCCCGCACAGTATCCGTTGTTTACGTGGCAATCTTCGTTGAACCATTTCCCGACATAGTACCTGAAAAATCACGTAATTGATAAAGGCAGTTTCGCAGTCGAGGGGACATACTTTCCGCCGCTGCCTTGATATCCGATCGACAGTTTCGTGTGCATCTGAAAAATCAAGTATGCTGCAGATGGTCGTACATATGTTTTTAAAGCGCACGTTCAGGGAGGGGCCATGCACTCGTCCCAACGTGTACACCCTATGGACGTAGGGACAGCGCGCACTGTCTGCCCGTGCCGGGGGGAGGCAATTTCCCTCCTTTGCGGCGTGGGACGCCCCTCATCCCGTCACCGGGTTGTAGCTGTGGCTGACTGGTATGCATCCGCGCCTCCCGAGCGGGATAAACGGGTTCGACCCCCAGCCGCGGCAAACGTCTCTTGAATTTTGCAAAATTCCGGAATTTGATTGGATTTCCTTATTTTGAGGAACGGGGCGGGTTTTATGATACTTTTCTAATCTGACAAGGAGTGTCTTTTTGGTGTCATCGGCAAAATGATTTGAAACCCAGCTCATTCGATAGAGAATTAAATTCTGAACAAGACTGTGTTGTTGATTTTTGCGGAATGGCTGTCCCTGATTTTATAGAATTAAAAAACCAAGCGCGAAACCTTAACAACTCGCTCCCCAAGCACCAATGTATGGGCGTCGCCGGCAGTTTTTTAATTTTATAAAATCAGGGACAGCCATTCCGCAAAAATGAACAACACAGTCTTGTTCAGAATTCAATTCTCTATCGAATGAGCTGGGTCTCGAATCATTTTGCCGATGACACCAAAAGGACACTCCTTGTGAGGGTTTCTTACAAAAAATCGCATTTTTTCTTTTTTTACTCCTACCCTGGCAGGAGCTCCTGTTGTCTTTTTTAAGCTTAATTTGCACCAAAAATGACTTTTTGAATAAAAAGTAAATAAATAAGTAAGTAGTAATATAAAAATAAGTAAATAAGAATAAAAGCCCGCAGCAGATTTGGAAAACGGATTCGGAATCATCGAAAAATTCTGTACAAGGTCCCGAAACGAAACTGCAACTTGAGTAAAAACACTTTGCACATAGTTTTTATCGTTCCCCATTACTGGTAAAAATTTGGTCTTGATCGGATGGAGGACTTCCAAATGCCGACGGGGGAAGGGGCGGGGCGTTGGGAAACCCTGTAAATACCATTCCTACCCGAGACTTCAGCGTCGAGTTACCGGGGTGGGTTTTTTTTGATTGGGTCCCGGTGCTATTTACCGGGAACCAACGCCAGCGCATGCCCAGACTTCTAACGCCAAAAACCTAGAACGTACCACGATACATTGTTTTGCTGCTACGTCGCCCGTCGGTTGGCCATCATCCCAATTCGTGTAGTCAATCGGGGTACCATCATCCCAAACAGGTTGCTTCTGATCCGTGTTATACTGGTCGAACAGTTTCTTCGGGTCATTTCGACACCTACCCTCCACGACCCGAGCGCCAGTGGGCAGAAATTGCTTGCATTGTCCGCGTTAGCGCCCATTTCCGCGCGAATCAATTCTATGCGGGTCTCTTGTAAAATGTCGAAATTCATAATGTCGAAATTTCATAATTTCAAACTTTCGTAATGTCGAAATTTACAGGAGCTAATTTTCCCGAAAAGGCCCCGAAATCTCAGCAAAAATTTTTGACATTGGTGAAATTACATTCCGAATTTGACATTTTGAATTTTGACATTCTCAAATTTCGAGATTCTGAATGTCAACAGAATGAATTTCGACATGATGAATTTGGACCCTATGATTTTCGATGACGTGATTTTCGACATTGTGATACAAATCAATTTGATGACATCATAGAATATCAGTCTGGTGGTTTTTCCTGTTTATGTTCTCAAAACGTCGCACTTACCCAAGATCTGCTGATTTTCTGCGGCGGAATGAATCGACGCCGGCTTTGCGTGGGCCGCATAGCACCAGAGGACGCGTTGCCAGATGAGATGGCCTCTCCAGGGTAATGAAACAACTGAAATCCAGGGCTGGTAACAAAGTCGATCTAACCCCCCCCCCCCCCTTAGATAGGGGGGGTTAGATCGAATCTAAGGGGGGTACTAGATCATCTAGTGGCCCCCTTAGATCTTCCCAGCGTGTCAGAGCAAATCTATCCAGAGCGCTGCTGTTTTGAAAGCGCCATCGGATAGAGGCGGTTTTTATGTTACAGAAAACCCAGTTCCAAAAAAACTCGCTCGGAAGGCTCCGCGCTACGGCTGACGGCTCTCGGCTTCAGACGGACGGACAGTTGACCAGGGTTGAAAAGCCGCTTCGCGACTTTTCAAACCTGGCCCTGTCTGATCCCATGATACTTCCGCTACCTTCTTCCCTTATATAGGCAACCACTACTTCCGGCGCATGCTAATTTTTTCCTAACAAAGAGGGTCCTGGATTTTTCAACAAAAACTTAATTTTAACGTCGAAAACAGTAGATTTTTGCGATGCGCACAGACACACACACAAACACTATTTTTTATATTTATAGTTGATGATATTTTTGGATTGAATCCGATCGATCGATTCTGTATAAAAACCAATTTGAATAGAATCGGATTTGATCGGTTTTGGAAAAACCGGTTTTTGATTCGAAACCGATCTATTGGTTCCGGAAAAAATCGGATTGACGGCGGAAATGAACCGATTTAAGCAGAATTTTGGATGCAAATCACGATGTGCCTCATTTTTGCGTGTTCATTGCGTTTTTATTACACGCAGTGGACCTACCATATTTGCACTAAGCCGTTTTTAGCCTCCAAAACATGGAGATATTCATTCCAGACCTAAGGGATCTGGAAGTTACTACCCTTTAACAATGAGTGGTAACCAGGGTTGGCCATTTTGGGCCCGGTCCTCGGCCCGTTCGGGTCGGTTCCGGTCCGGTGCGGTCCTAAAGGGTCCGGGAAAATCGGACCGGATCGGACCGACCGGACGGGACCGTATCGGACCGGACCGGACCCTGCGGACCGGACCCTTGGGTCTCACTAAACACTATACTTCTCCGCCCACCCTGGGTGGGCCCCCCCTAGGGGGGACAGAGGGGGGACTGAAAGGGGGGATGGTGGGGCCCCCCCCGGGGGGACCCCCCGGGGGGATTCTTCCCCCCTCACTATGCCTAATTTTCGCTATGCCGAATTTTCACTATGCCTAATTTTCGCTACGCCATGAGCATAAATGGTATACACTCACAAGGCCAAGTGACGACCCGGGGAGCCGGATTCCTAGATATAGGGCAGAGAGAACAGTCATACACCGCCCCTCATAATTATGTGTCCACCCCAAAAACCTCGAATATCTTTTTTCCGAGTGTGTTTCGACAGACGGCTTGTATTAAAAAAAGTCTGCAAAATTCCGTTCTGCAACCAAGTTGGTTGGTTGCAGAACCAATTGGTTGAACCAACCCTACCGAATATTTTTGCCTAATGAATACGGTAGATGAAATATAGAGGATTTTCCGGAAAACACGTTTTTCCGATCCACATAATTATGTGTCCGCCCAGAAAAAAACGGACAAATCGTCGATGCGCGACCTAAACTTAAATGAATTTGTAAGTTTTCGACCTCGAGGATTACGGCAATCGACATTCCAGATCGCTTGGACGCATCCTGTAAATTTCAGAAAATTGGATTCTTGTATGGAAAATCGGTTTTTCAGCTAAATCTTCTTAGTTTTGGGAGATGACAGCTACGTCTAGTTATGCCTGAAAAGCGCAGCCAACGGCCGTCTTTTGCGTATGTAATAACGATTGTTCCACGTTCACTGCTTCGAAGAATTGAGTATTTGCTTTTGGGCACCTTACTAGGGAGGTATCTGAACTCGGCATCGATGCGCTATACATTTTGCGGGCTGAAAGAGGTAGTTAGCATCTTCTCAGCTCAAACTGAAGCACATATCTGGCTTCAAATACCGGTATAACGGCCCTTGGCTGCGCTTTTCAGGCATAGGTATACGTAGCTGTCATCTCCCAAAACTAAAAAGATTTTTACTGGGAACTACTTATACTACTTTTTACTATGAACACTATAAATTGCCAATTTTTAGCTCCTGTTTAAATCCTCACTCCATTTTAAATAGTTTTGGGTTTTTGGTGGCCAAATTTGGCCCAGAAATGGCGGAGAACCTGATTGGGCGACATACAGGGTGTCCCAAAAAAACGAACCATCTGGCATTTCGCCGTGCTACATCCAATCAGCCCCAAATTTGGAGCAAAGGTGTATCAGACCCTAAATAACAACAATCCTGACTTATAGCTCCGTAGCTACAGTAGTTCTCGAGTTATAACAAAAATAAACTTTATTTTCCATTTTTCATAGGGTTTTCGTGGAATTGGACCCCCTAAACATTAAGTGAAAATGATCCGGTAGGCCCTCTTTACCTTAAGAAATTTTTTCCGGACTAAAATCCTATCCTATAAGCGAGAAAAGTATGTCTGTTTTCTGTTCAGCCGATTTCTCGGCCGCCAGGCCGAATTTCCGGCTGATTTTTGGCATGCAAGTAGAGAAACACATTTGTCAGTGATGCATTTTTTGTTTGGCGAAATTCCTTCATTTAACGATTTTACAAGCAAAATAATGAAAAATCCTTAACATTTTGCCCAAAAAAAGGTATGTCCGGAGGTTTTCTCGGCCGCCAAGAGGCGCTGGGCTCTGATTTTTGGAGGGTGAGTGGTAAAAGCAATTCTCCCGATACTAGTTTCTGGATTTTGCCTAATTCCTTAAAATAAAGTTTTTACGAGCTTTTTACTAGACGGTCCTTAATAAAATGGCCGCAGTCCCGTGGTGTCCGGGCAATAACTCGAATCCCAAATGGAATTTTGGGCTGTAATTTGGTCTACTTATGTATTCGATAGTGGGGATCACGCGCAGCTTATTATTTTTACAAATTTTTGGCGCATTCAAACTCAAAAAGAGAATTTTGTAAAGTTATCAGAAGTCCGCTCTCCCGGGATGAGCGCGCCCCCAGGACAGAAGAGGCCTTTCCCGCTATCAATCGCCGCGTCGCCTTGGTGTATTGGACTGGCGCCCGGTCTAACAAACGCGTGGTCACGGTTCGAATCCGCAGGGAATTTAACTTTTTGCTTTTTGGTAGTTCAACAACAAAACATATTTCTAGGCTCTCGGTGTGCGAGTTTTAAGACCGGGCCCTGGCTCTAGCGCCGCAGGCCAAAGAAAAGCTACTTGGCCCTGGCTCTGGCGCCGCAGGCCAACGATGGTTCCTTGACCCAGGCTCTCGCGCCGCAGGTCATATACTTGAGAAAACCCAGTAGCTAGCGCCGCAGGCTCAAAGATTCTGGCCCAGCGCTGGCTCTGGCGCCGCAGGCCAAAGAATGATTCCTTGAGTCAGGCTCTTGCGCCGCAGGCTTCGATAAAAGGAAAGGGAATTGATGATTCCTAGACGGGGTCCAGTGGAAAAGGGCCGCGAAGCGGTCTTTTTCCACTGGTTAACCAAATAAACTTCGATTTGAGCGATTTTTACAACGCAAAATTACCTACAATTACACTTTCTCTTTTTCCAATTACGGTACCCATAAATTTGCTGCATAGAGCTTCTTCGGTGGTTTGTTTTCCGGAAAGCCAGAAAACAGGACGGCATCCGGACTGGAACCACAGATCCTCTGCTTGACGGTCGAGCACCTTACCACTGCGCCGCCAAGCCGATGGGAAGCAGGGCCTGGGGAGGGTTCATGCCGTTATTTTCAATAGAAAACTTAAAATCGAATTATCTCGAAACGAAGGCTCTTCCGGTATTTCGGAAAGCACCGTTCTCAGCATAGTTAATTAACCACCAGGGTTGAAAAGCCGCTTCGCGACTTTTCAACCCTGGCCCCGTCTGATCCGATGAGATTCTTCACTTTGCATAATTCTCACGATTTTCGATGACAAAAAATCAGAAACGCTCCCTCTCTTCCCTTATATTGGCTACCGCAACTTCCGGCATATGCTAATTGTTTCCTAACAAAGAAGGTGGCCCATTTTTCAACAAAAACTTAATTTTAACGTCGAAAACAGCTCATTTTTGAAAATTTTATTGATGTGCAGTCATCCCGAGGCCATTACGCATCTAATGACGTATCAAACATGCGCTTAACTACTCCCCTTATTGAGATACTACTGGAACAACCTGACGGAAGTTGCATGCAAATGCACACAGAAACACACAGACACTATTGTTTTATATCTAGTAGGATAAGAAAGACCTTGTAAGAAATGGGCTAAATTTCAATAGGCCATATCTCGGCCAACCAGTTTCCAATTTTGTTGATCTCAACATCTATTGTTATGTACTCCTTGAGACCTATGGATTGGCGTAAAAGGTATCGCAGGCAAATTGTTCAGTGCAGAGCTAACAGGCAAAAACGCTTTTGCCTGCTTTACCGTACCGGTACCGAAAAATTACCGGCAAACATAGTTTTGCAAGGCGCGACGATAAGGGGCTTGGGGGCTAACCAGTACAGCCCGGGAGAAAGGTCCGCCACGCCCGATTATTCGTCAGCGTCGGCGAAACCATTCATGTAAGCGCCCAGCGACTGTACAAGATTTGTTCGGGGTTTCGAGGAGTAGCCAAAGGTCGCTGACTGACTAAGGCGTCGACGAAAATTTGTACGAATCGGCGTTGGAAGCGCGCGGCCGTGAATCGAGCGTGTAAGGCCGTCCCAGCCACGCGGAGCACTATAAATAGGTGGGGTCTACGTAGATCAAGATTCGACCGTATTCTTGTATTCTGTCTTTTTGTTAAGATTTACAAAAGTGGTTGCTTTAAAGGGATCAGGAATGCCCATGTCAAATATTAAGTTAGCTTTAAAATTAGCATAAACCTGCCGGGTGCGTAAGCTAGCTCGTCCGTTATTGCAAAGAGTTTCATCAGAGTTAATTGCCGAAGTGGCTTGTGGAAGACTATCACCATCTTGAAAACCAGAATCTCGAAAAAGGTATATGTCGGTTATGCCGGGGGGGGGGACAATTTAACACGGGGGGACAATTTAACACGGGGGGACAGGCAGGCCTTTTTGGACGTTTCCGTTATTTTCTTGGAATTTTTGCAAAGGCATTCGATAAAGCATCGAAAAATTTCGTAAGAGTTTTTGTTTTAGCTCAAATTAGTGTAATATAAAAAAGGTATGGCAAATACAAACTTAAGCTTTGAAAATCGGGTTGAGCGGCTGTTTTTCGACATGCGCGCTTTTTTTCGGCATTTTAAAGATGCCATTCGATAGAGCATCCAAAAATATACTAAGGGTTTTAATTTTAGCTCAAAATAATGTAATATAAAATAGTTTAAACAATGTATTACTTAAATTACTATTACTTAAGTATTAACAAGTAATGTATTACAAATGTATTAAACGTTGTTTCCTTGGAGGACATAGAAGGAAATCAAGTTTTCGACATTTTCGACATTTTTACTAAATTTCTGAGTGCCATTCGACAGAGCGTCGAAAAATATATTAAGAGTTTTGTTTGTAGCAAAAAAACGCAAAAAAATAGTCAGCTCGGCGCCAACAGTCCGTCCCCCCGCGTAAAATCGCCCCCCCGCGTAGCCGACATATACCTCGAAAAATATGGAAAATGGAGTATTTTGTACAATAAAGGTGCACCAAAGGCGCGTTAGGTTGGTTACGGGCTGGTTACCGTCGGCGGGATAGCCAACAGGCTTACGGTAGGGGCTCGCCGCGGGGCAAAAGCGAATTCGCGCCGAAGCGCTTTAGACCACTAGGCCATGGGACAGAAGGGAGAGCGGGAGAGGGCAGGGGGGATACGAAGCGTCCGGGGGTTCGGCGGCAAGGAGCACGAACTCCCGACCGCGAGCTTAACTTTTGCACGGGATTTGAGTATACCTATAAAAGATCTTAGGAAGCTTCGAAATTCTGATTTTCGAGATCTTCATTTTGAGATTTTGTTTTTCAAGGTCTTGATTGTCGAAATTCCGGTGACAAATTCAGGCCGGTTCTAGAATAGATCAAAACACGGCCCTCCTGATTCCTTTCAAAAAGTTTAAAAATTTTTTAATCCAAATCGGAGTTGTTGCGGTCTGTGAATCTCGTGTTTTTGTTACTGTTTCAAAAATTTAATCCTGCCTGAAATAAACTGGCTAAATACCCTTCACTTACAGGAACAGCATCCACATAGACTCCACCGCCTTATTCCGCTACACGACAATGAATATAGCGTTATTCCTGATTCTGACGTGGCCGATTTTGAAATATGGTGAAGGTAGGTAAAATGTACCATTGGCCATTGGAAATTTTTTACTGACCAAGCCGAAATTTTTTATGAATAATGGATGCGTTTCCAAATTGTTTTTAACTATTCCCAAGCATAAAATCGATACCAATTTTCATAAAAAATTTAATTTTAGGTCGATAAAAACATAAAGAACCTTTAGGATTCGCGGGGGGGGGGGAAGGACCCAAAATGACCAAATTTTCGGCTTTTTCAAACATTTTCTAATTTTTTGAAGGTTTTTTTCTACCTTAAATATAGTTAAAACTTAGTAAAAGCAGTGTAAAACACTTCATATTTGATTACTAGATCAGCCGGGACCACCAGAAAAAAATGGATCCCCCGGGAAACCTAAAGAACCCAATAGCTAGACAGGCGAAAAATTGAAGGAGATGCTTGCTATATATACACCCTGTACATCGTTTTGGCAGGCATGACGACTACACCATGTCCAAGTGCCGAGCATTATGCTCGTGTGCCGGAAGCCGACGATGCTCCTCCGATAACCACCGAAGGTACAGATTGCTTAACGGGCGGGGGGGTGAAGATAACGGAGGTCTGAATAACCCTTGTATATCTGGAAGCTAACCTATTATTTTAGAAGCGTTAGCGGATACAGCGTCAAAAATAATACGAAAAGCATTAAGTTAGCCCGAAAGAAACTCATTTACAACGGTTTTTAATTACTTCAACTTTTTAGCTTAAAAGTAATGATTTTAAATAATGAATTCTTGACAAAAAAGGCTAAAATCTCCAAGCAATCGGCACCCTACGCCTATACTCCGTAGCCAGCTCATGTGTTTTTAATAACTAATTTATATCAACCTTTTTAGGGCTGCAGTTAAATCTCGTAGTGTATTTTTCGATGCTCTATTGAATTGCATTCACAAAACCCCAAGATGCCGAAAATCCTGGAAAAACGTTGTTCCCTTTGTTCGCCGATCTGGTAAACGTACGAAACCTCCATTCTTGCAAATTAAATTTTTTCGGGCCAAAATTGATACCTTTAGTTGAATTTTCGATGCTCTGTTCGATTTAAAACCAATCCCGGACAGGCAAGAGTTCTTCCCCCCCAGGGCTTTCGATTTTTGTCTACCCGAACCGACGACAGCCACTTCAGAAACAACAACAACAACCACATCGACCACGACCACAACGACCACGACCACGACGACCACGACCACGACGACCACGCCCACGACGACCACGCCCACGACGACCACGAGCACGACGACAACAACCACATCGACCACGACGTCCACCACCACCACAACCACCGCACCCCGCCCCAAGCCGGCCACCTGCCCTCTAGTTTGTGCATATAAGATTTAAAATCGTCCCATCGTTTAGGCAACAGTCTGTCCGCTAGACCGGGGGTTCGTCAAATCGGCCGGGAGCTGCTTCAAGGTATTTATTATTACTTATTTATTTATTAGTATTTTCATCTTTTATTACCGTATTTCCTCTAATATAACCCCCGGGGATTTTTTTCAATCAGCCGGGTGAGCAGGTTGTAAATATTAGCGGGGGGGGGGCGTATAATATAGGGGGGGGGGGCTTATATCTCGAAAATATATCTCTTATTGACTAAAATCTCGAAAATTGGATATAAAATGGCCGGCATATAAAATAAAATATTTTGACCAAAAAAACAAAAACTCTTTTCGCTGTAGGACGCTTAAAATTGGTCAAATTCGTAGTGTCACGCAGAAGCTTCACCTTTTTTCGACTTTTCGCTCCTGAGTGCATATTTAAGTTTTGAGCCCGCAAAACTTTATAAATAATCATGAAAATCTTGTTGTATGTCGAAACGTTGTTTTTCCTGGGCGAAAAAGTTTCTATTCACCTTAAAGATCACTAACAGTTAAACTTTCTTAACTAATGCTTTGGTGCCACGGTTCTTCGTTTTCAGAAAAAGACCTTCTTTCGCATTAGCGGGTGGGCACCAGCTTTTTTTTTCTTGGGGCTTTTTTCAAATATACCGTATTACCTCTAATTAACCCCCCTCTAATACAACCCGCTCCCCCAGGACGATTGAAAAAATATAACGCCCTGGGCCATATTCGGGGAAATCCGGTAAATATGGTTAGAGTCAAAATGGTTTTTTTTGAATATTCGTAAACGTGAAAACTTTCTGAAATTCTTATTAAAAGAATAGAAAGAATGTCGATTTTTTTTGACCGAAAAGGGCCAAAATTTCGAAGTTTTTCAACATCTTTAACAGTTTTTAGATGGTTTCTCTAGTTAAAATATGGTTACAGATTACTAAAAACACTATGTAAACACTTTCTATTGACTTACTAGACATTTCTAAACGTATACAAAGAGTTCACTCCCCCGATCATGCGAAAAACCTAAAAATCAATCAATTAAAGATTCTGAACATTCGCGATTTTGCCATTTAGAGATTCAAGATAGCGTAGATTCGAGATTCTCACTCTTCGAAATTTCCGTCATGGAGATTCTGCCACTTGAGATTTTGCATTTCGAGACAATGTGAATTTAACGTCTAATCATCCTTTTGTAGGTCGTCGAAGCACGAAGAAGCTGGCAGGCGAGCCGGAAGCTGTGTAAAGCGGTCGGCGGGCGTTGTGCGGACCTCGGGGTGCCGCAGTGCTCCTTCCAGAACGCCGCGACCCTTGGTACAGTCCACAACGGTGTCACGAATTACTGACATTCTTCCTAATATCATTTTCTTAAGAATAATCTGTCCTAAAACATTTTTCCTAAAAATCAATTTTCCTAAAGTTCATTTCGCTAAAAACGGCGAAATATCGAAAAAGCCTAATTACCGAATAGCCAGTTAGGATTTGCATTCATTTCGCCGAATTTTCATATCGCCGAATTTTCATTTCGCCGAATTTTCATATCGCCGAATTTTCATATCGCCGAATTTTCATATCGCCGAATTTTTATTTCGCCGAATGTGTATTTCGTCTAAAGTTTATTGCACAAAACTTCATTCGGCCGGTTTTTCGTAGCCCGTTATCTAGCGAACAATAAAATACAGCTCAGCTGGCCTCTTCTTCAGGAATAGGTCGAAGCAAACATCAGTGCCGTTGTTTTCAACGAAAGTAAAGTTATCTTCTTGATGCTCCGACAAAATCCTATGGCAGGCGGAGCAAAATATTGTAAATTCCAAGGTCTCCAACATAGATTTTCATACGTAATTCGGCGAAATGAACATTCGGCGAAATGAAAATTCGGCGAAATGAAAATTCGGCGATATGAAAATTCGGCGATATGAAGATTCACCGCCAGTTAGGTCCCTCAGTCAGCTGCTAAATATTACAAATGATTTTTTTCTAATAAATTCGGCTATGCTTAGCCTGGATTTAGCTATATTTGAAGCGCAAAAGTATCAATGAAAAGCCGGAAAAAAACTTTGGTGAAGTAGTAAAATGCTTTGCTAACCAAAAATGACAGCATTTGGCCGTTTTTCATCTTTTACGCATCCCTATTTACATCACAACTTTTAGGAAAATGAACTTTAGGAAAAATGATTTTAGGAAAAATGAAAATACGAAGTAAAATAATGAAAATAATGAAAATGAATCAAAAATAAGGCATTAAATGCAAATCAAATCCGGTGACACGTCTGTTTTTAGAACTCGCCAGGAGCAACAGAACGTTGATGCGGATCGGACAACTAATTGAGGATGATCACTCCAAGGTAGGCCCACAAGTCATTGCATGCCAAGCCATTTTAGCACATCTGGATGGGCTACTCCCAGGTTGGACTGGAATTTCGAGCTGTACGCCCGAATGTTCGGGATTGGACGTATGGCTTTTAACCCGAAATACGGCTTCTTCCTAAAAAATACGTTAAAACTAGCAGCATCCTAAAAAAACGCCACTCGATCGCGAAAATTTTGGCGCCTCTATTATTGTCACCTTTAGCCTACAGCCCTAAGTCCCAATGTCAAAAACCGACTTTCTACTCTACGCTCCCATGTGGAAACCACCCTAAAGCTTATTTTTTTCGATAGCCTGTTTGTATTACCATATTTTAAGCGGTCATTAAAAGCGTTTAGAAGATCCCCAAAAATGGTGAAATTCTTTCTACAGGGTGCGGAGAAAGTTTTCGGCGGGGAAATAACTCTGCTACTCGAAATCTAGCCCTGCTATCCAGCGTTTTTGGATTTGAGGCTGGAAAGTCAAGGCTCTTGTAATCCTAATTCACGACTGGATTAACAAAACATTTTCCGCACCCTGTAGAGCCCGCCCAAGGTTAACTGGACTTAGCCGATCTTGTGCAGAAATTTTTGCTGGTTTCCAGTTCCAAGCTACGCGCATGTGCATTGATCAGAGGCGTAAATCGTAGTCTTGCCATTCAAAACACTAGACTCCTCTGCAATTCCTCGTTCAAGTCTTTTGAAGCTTTTTTCCAAGTTCTCTATAGCCATCTTTCTTCCAAAATAGCCTTTCAAAAACAACCATGCCCCCTCGTGACCACGTCTTGATAGAACTTAATTTGCAAAATTATGGCTATATTAAAACCAATTTCGCCCAAATTTTGCAAAACTCACAAAGGATTTTTGACCTTCTAGGCAGATTTTCAAAGATGCATCTCGATTCCGTATTCAAAATTTTTTCCCTATTAAATGAGCACTAGCTCAAAATTGTTTAAATTGAAAAATCGACGATGGGAACTGATAAAAACAGCCTTATTCACCCCCCCAGCCCTTGTAACCTGATAGGCGTAAGTGACCTAAAATTTTCTATCACATAAGCCAATTATAGAGAAAATGGCGCCTAAAAATGACCTTAAAATCGATACATCAAATCGGGCTGCTTAGTAAACATTGAGACACGAACGAAAAATCCGCCGCATGCGGTAAATTTAGGAAAATGGGCGACATTGCGCTAAAACAGCCGTAAAACCTAAAGAAATAGCGCCGTAGGCAGAAGATTTTTTCAGAAAAAAACCATAAGGGTATGGCACTTTTCGGCCTTCCTTGACCGCCTTGACCGTCCCTTCTCCCCTCAAATACCAATACAGCAGTTTTTCCAGTCTACCTTGGCGCTACCCTGAGCCGAATCATTTGGAGGAGAAAACTGAGCCATGTGTCGATGTAAGTACACCGAGAATTCTGGCAATTGTGTTCGTAAATATCAGATGTATCTCGTCGGTAATCTCAACGGGACATGGAACAACGTCGACTGCAACAAATCCATGCTTGCGGCGGTCTGCGAAATTCCGATGGTAGGCGTTACTTCCCAATTTACGAATAGCTGTGAGCAATTCATCGGTTTGAATTCATTTCCTTTCATAAGGGGTGTCTCAAAAAAACACAGGCCTCTTATCCGAAATTCGGCGGCGATATATCCGATTCGTCTCAAAAATAGACCTAAAAACCTAACCCTAAAGAAACACAACCCTGAGTTATGGATCCATGGCGACAGTCGTTTTTCGAGGTAGAACAAAAATGAGCATGGCTATCCGTTTTTCACCGGGTTTTCGAGGGTATCTGAGCCATACCTGACCCATCAAGCAAAATTGATGCCGGCGGCGCTTCTTTACGCCTGGATTTTTTGGTTTTATAATCGACTGTAATAATTTTGCTGTGGTGTCTAATTAGTCCCAGCTGGGACGCTGTGCAGCGGTTTTTAAGCCCTGGATACGGATTAAAATTTAGGTTTCGTCACGGATCGGTTGCCAGCGCATGTCGACGAAACTACGAACTCATCCATAGCTGCGGCACCTCACTTGAACTATGAGCTCCTGTTAACCTGAAACTCTTGATTTACTTGTGCCGCTGAACTGCTTTTTTTAATCTATGATGCTTGATGTAGCACAATACCCCTTTTTGTGTGTGCGTTCGTGTGCGCCGCTCTCCCTGTGGGTCCCTTCAACGTGACGGTAGTAAGCTTGTTATATAGCTTCGATCAACCTTTTGGCTGGGGCGTTATATTTCCGGCAAGTTCCTCGCTCTTTCAATTTTTTCATGAAAATATTTTTGACCGATTCTTTTGGGAAAGCACTATAAACCGCCGATTTTTAGCCCATTTTTTCAAATCCTCACTCCATTCTAAATAGTTTTGGTTTTTAATGGCCAAATTTGGCCCAAAAATAGCGGAGAACCTGATCGGGCGGCATAGATGGGCCATTTCAAATTCACGCGTTTGACGCTCGGCTTTATGAAGTTTGGTCTAAATTTCGCTTTGGCATAAGAACTGCTTTACTGAAATTTTACTGTACAGGGAATACGCAAAATAACCACATGTCTTAAAGCTGACTGCGTTCATAAAGAGACACTGACTGCAACACTACGGAGTAGAGTGTGCCGTGTTTGAATAATTATCTAAATCTAAATTTAAATTTAAATTTAAATCAAGCACATTCTCCTCTCATTAGTGCGCGTTTTTGGCAACGCACGGTTCCAATTTGCGTTTGGTTCAGGTGTCCTTTTCCGGGTGACAGTGCGCGTTCCATCGTTCTGACAGTCTTCAACGAAATTTGAAAAATCGCGTCCATGGATTCAAGAAGGACTTTTGTTGATGTTAGAATATCAACGCGGTCCATTTTTCTAGATGCTAAAATGCCGAATAGCGAAAAAAAATCAGATTTTTTTTGTATTTCGAGATTGTTAGGATTTCCAATTATTCGGTGACCGGAATCAGCGGCAGACAACCAAAGCGCTTATCGGCTCGCTAACAAGGAGTCGCTTTTAGGTGCTTTTGGAGTTTCGGGACGGGACCTAGCTAGTTCGATAGAGAAAAAAATTCTGAGCAACATCTCGTTTTCAAAAAGTGCTGATCGATAAAGGTGTTTTAGAAAATTTAATTTAAAGTTCGCGCTTTTTCTAGTTTTCGAGTCCATTTCCTCGGTTCACGTCGTTTTCGGGGGCGGGCAAGGCGCCATTCATAACCTTCCGGCAAGGCCTCCATCGCAGGTTGCATTGGCGTATTGGTAGCGCGCTTGCGTGCCAACTTTTTAGCCTTTTTTGCCTCGGGTTCGAATCTTCGCGCTGGCTAACCCTTTGCTTTTTGGTTCTTGAGCCGGTTGTGTTTGTTTGTGTTGTGTTTGGTTTTGTGTCAGCATTTTTGTTGTCGATATATTTCGAAGATCGATCGAAATGGGAGGTAAGTTCCATTGCTAATTAACTGTGCCGCACTCCTACCTTCTGCCGAACCAGTCTCTTCCAGATTTTGCGTGTTTTCGGCTTAAAGTGATTTCTGGTTAAAATCATAACCGTTTGTGTAATTCATGGTCCCTAGACGGGGTGTGATGGAAATGGGCCGCGAAGCCGTCTTTGCCAACCGCTCCATCCGTTTATTATAGTACAGCGGGGCCCAAAAAAATCGACCCCCTCTAGTGGGCCGCAGAAGTTTTAGGATGGACATTGTGACGTTTTAGGTATCTATCGAAAGCTCTCAAAAATGCGAGAGAACGAGCACTTTTAGTTTTTCAATATGGTCATTTTAATTTAATATGGTCAAAAAAGAATCTTGTGCCTTACCCCCTACAAACCACAAGCAAAAAACTGGGTTCTGATAGAATCGAGGACGGGGATTCCGAATCTCTTATCAGAATTTGCAGCCCGCGAATAGCAAAAAAGGCTATCGCGTTTGAAGTTTTGCTCCCTGCTTTATGAGTCCTCTCCCAATCAAAGGATCCGCTGACCGAGTGGTGTAGTGGATCAACAACTCATCTCCGCGTCTAAAAGCTAAACTCAAACGGACGCTTTACGAGTAACTGCAGCCTAACTAGAACTAAAACGGGAGTCCCGAAGACGAGCGGGGCAAGCTAGCCGAGATTCTTTGAGACGAGGCGCAACTTTTTTCCGGTTACCGATTGGTTGTCTTAAAAAATTTGGGACGTTCTGGCTTGGGTGGAGGAGGGCCAAACCAAATGTTCGGAATGTTCATTTTTGGCGCTGCTGTGTGGGAAGTGATTTTGGAAACGCTTGGCGACCATTTATGCGTATTTCTTTGCAACGCCGTTTTTCCGGGTTATTTCCCGTTGCAGCGATCCTTCGTGCAGACGCACATTTCGGCCAGTCCTGAAACAATTTAAATGTTTGCAAGCTGTTCTCGTGAACACTTTCTCTTTTTCCAATCAACAACTGGCTCACGGTACCCATGACTTTGACGCATTGATCTTCTACGGTGCCGTCGTTTCCGGGGGTCGGCGGTCGACTGGCTTCCGGGGTTAGACAACCACGCAGCGTATCTCCTACGGTGAATATCATAAGTGTATGCGGCACCGTTAATTGGCAATTCAACTTACCTCCCATTTCGATCGATGATGTTACCGACATACAGGCTCCGTTTGATTCGCATGTCGGGGTGTCCGAGGTTGGCTGTATGGACCACGTAATGGTATACAAATGCCAACATGGGACTCTGGTTCAGACTGCCCGAAACCACAAACTTTTTGACACGAAGCGATATATTCCATGGGGCCCGTAACAACGCTAAAAATAGCTATTATAAGCAATTTGAGATATTACAACGATTTCTAGCAGTTCAAACTGCGCACAACCAGTCAGGAACCCAGTAAGAAGCTTAAACTGAAACGTTTTAGGCATTTTTTACTTCTTGAAAGCAACGAAAGGTAGAAGGTAGGGGCACTCGAAGTTTTTTATAATAAAAGTATTTTTAAATATGGGTTTTTGGGCTATAAAAAACGCCAAGTATATTTTTTGGCCCTCTATCGAATGGCATTTTCAAAATATCGTAACTATTCAAAACGCCGAAAATATGTTTCCCCCTCCCCGTTACCCGGTCTGATTTTTCCATGGATTATCTTTGTGTGTCGTGGCCCATCTACAGGAGTAGCACTTTTTCGCACTCGCTAAAAGCTTGGTTAACAACGTTTTCTGACCATTTGTTTGTCTATTACTCTTTTAACTCACCATTCAAGGCAAAAATTGGCAACAAGAACAACAGTGACGCTTTGACGGGCAGCATTACCTAAATAAGGAGGGATTTGATGGAAGAAACCGATGAAAGATGTGGATTTCGTCGACACACGGCTATTCTGCAACTTATAAAACAGACAAAAATTATGCATACGACGATCAGGCAGCCATCAAGCGTGGAAATGTCGGAAGATTGCGTTTACATCCGGATAAATAACGTGAGAACCGCGAGCATTTTGAGGTATTGGAATTGTTTTCCCGTCCGGATGATTTATGGAAAATTCCAAACAATTTCCGTTTCACCGAAAACTTTTTAGCAATACAGCGAAACGAGCAACCATCAGAATTGACGCCCGAAAGGGAGAGCCAATGTACAAAAGTTGGGAAGTAATCTTGCCTATGGATTTTATCCGAACGTGGCAAAAGACTAATAAGCTAAAATTAGCATAGGAAAGTGGCAATTGGTATGAATTTGCATCTTTATGCCGTAGGACTCGGCCTCCTTCCGAAAACTTAGTCATTTACACTTTGCTGCCAAAACGATGCGCTTCCTTGCCCGTGTCTTTGGTTGGCATGTGGGTTTTCCGCTGCTTCGGAATTCGCGCTGAGTCGCGCTAACTGTAAAGTGTTTTTACTCAGGCTGGCGTTTTGGGATGGGACCAAGCCTATCTTGTGCAGAATTTTGCGCTGATTCCGAATCTGATTTTCAAATCTGCTGCCGACTTTTATTTAAAAAGTTATTTAACATTGATACTATAAAAAGTACCAAAATCCGGATTTTTATGCGTTATTCTTAGGTTTTCTTCATCTTCAACGTTAAAACTGGGTCGGTAACGGTTTTACAGATCAAATCACGCTTTTATGCAAAAAATTATCTGTTTTGTGCAAAAAGCAAAAGAAATTGTGCAGGGCGGGGTTCGAACCGCGGCCCTGTGCTTGGCAAGCGAACACCTTCACAATGCACCATGGTGCCAACTGGGCAGGGGGCTTCGGAAGGGTAGATAAGGGGCACAGCAATACCTTGGTCCCTACAGGGAATAGTGGGCCAACATCCGAATTTATGCCATTTTTTAGCTTAATTTCGACCTGAAATGACTTTTCAACGCGAAGTCCGCAGCAAATTTGGAAAACGGATTCGGAATCAGCAAAAAAATCTGAACCAGATAGTCTTGGTCCCATTCCAAAACGCCAGCCTGAGTAAAAACACTTTACAGTAAGGCGCAAATTCGCGAAATCGACTAAAGTAGCAATCCTGCTTTCGCAATTGCACGACACGTCTATCGCAAGCGTTGCGGTCTTCCCTCCTTTCCAAAGCTACCGGACGTTTTATTAGGAGCCGGGCCGCTGTGCCAATACAATTGTTTTGTTTAAGCTTTATTTCTCTTTCTTGCTTTATTTTCGTTAACAAAACTATATGTAAATGGCGATTGACGAGGGAAAATTTGGAGATACTACGCGCATTAATGGATGACTTGGGCAAATGCTGGCTGGGGGCGAGGGGGGAGGGTAAACTAGACTCTAACCTGGATATCGAAAAAAGAATTCTAGGACTACGACCCGCTGCCGATGTCGACGCCCAACATCCAACCCGGTTTGCGCACCTATCGACGCCATGTGTACATCGCCGCCGGAATGCTGCTGGTCACCGTCTGGGCGTTGATGCTCTACCGAAGTGGGACGATGGTTGAAGAGCTGAAGGAGGTCCCCCTGAAGCATCCGGCCGTCGTGGGTGCTCATCAGCTTCCGGCCGTTGAGTTGCCGGCCCGTCAGGGTCAGCAGAAGCTGAGGTTTGGATTTAAAGGCATCAAGGCTGTGGTGTAATTAGTACCGCGGTGGGTACTAAAAATCGGGTGCTGCACTGTTAGCGGGGGCCGGGGGAATTTTTAGTAAGGGGAACTAATTTTTCTTTTCCGACGACACACCTGTTAATAAATGTGTTTTTAGATGTTGAATTTGTATTTTGTTAGTCCCTTAGTTTGCCAGAAAGTTATAAAATATTTTTTTAATGCCTAAATTTTGCAATTTGCGATCTGTTGGGTCATTTTTCAGACAATTTTGAGCCAAGGTATAAAATATTGAATTATTTTATTTTCGGATTTTTAAGGAGGGAATTCTTCTTCTCCTTCGAAGGAATTTTTCGGACCAAAAAAAATTCGAACAAAATGGTTTGCATTTTGTTATAGGTTCATACGAAAGTACTTAAAAACCATGCCAAGCCCCCCCCCGCTAACAGTCCAGTACCGTACAGAATTCAAGGTACGTACCATTCCCTCAAGCTTTGCAGGATGCCAATCCGAGCAAGCGCGACCGAGGAAGCGGTGTATAGCGTAGCCGATCCCGAAGAGCGAATCCCCGCTGAGACTATAGATAACGATTTCGGAGTCGTCAGCAGAGTGCCGTTCAACGGGACGATCCTTATCCTTGGTATAGTACAGAATTTCGAAAAAAACTTCACCTTTTTTGACGTTTCGGTTCTTTCGCATTATCGGGGGGGGAGTTTATCGGAAGTGTTTCTACATTGTTTTTTACTATCCCTGAGCGTAAAAGTTTACAAAATTTTATTACAAAATACAAAAGATATCGGTATAGCAAGCAGATATGGCGGTGTTTGACCAAAATGTTATTATATGTCATCTTGTCATTATAAGACAGTAGGAAAATGTTTCCTATAAAATTATTAGGCAGTTCTAGATTAATAGACAATAAAATTCCTCCCCCCCCCGTCCCCGAAAATGCTAAAGAACCAAAGTTCTATCTCTTTCCCGTTCCAGAAGGCAACTACACGCCCGAAAATTTTGCCGACGCGCCGCACCACTTTGTGATTGCCGTCGCGAATGCGAAGCCCGAAGATTTGATAAAATATAAAGCATGTAAGTCTGCCGTATCCTCATGAATATATGGTTTTCTAGCCCACCCCTACCGCGAGATCCTCTCCTATCGGCTGAAGCCGGGCCGTGACTTTTTCGAGGTCTTCATCAACGAGACCGCCCATTTGATGCCAATGTGGGACTTGGTTAGAGTTCAGTTTCCCCCCTGCCAGCCGGCACACAGCTTTTGTATATCGGCTCCCTGTTTACCTACATGTGTGTAAAGTATACCAAAATACTCGCCAGAGCAAGACGAACAATTTGGCATACTTTACACACCTGTAGATGAACAGGGAGCCGAGATACGGTAGGTGGGGTCGGCTGGGGGGCGGGGGGTAAACTGCAATCAACCCTGGGACTTCAAAAAAAAAACACGCAAAATTTGCTCCTCTGCGCTTCCACCGAGCCTGGGAGATATTCCTTAATTTCAACTGTTCCAGCTCCGTCTACAAAAAAGAAGGAGACGTCTTCTACCCGGTTGACGCGACGTTCCACAATCGGCTGTGGCGCAACTCGAAGAAGTTGGAGTGTTTGATGGGTTGGTGATTCTGGACTCTTAGCGGAACCCAAATTTTTTCCGTGATTTTCTACGGTCCCATCAAAAAAAAACCATTTTTATCGCATTTTATATAATTTTTACGCATAAAAACATTATAAAAACAAAAATTTCGAACATTTTTGAACTTGGATTTTTTGAACAGATGTTCGCAGAATGACAAAAAATGTCGAAATCTTCGAATTTTCAAAGTGTTTAAAAAGATTTTCATAACTCTACGAATCAAAATCTACTAAAAAAATTTAAAACCGATAATATATCATCAACAACAGGAGGTATAGGTGGAAAAACAGAAAGTGTTTTCTCCCGCGCCCCCCTTGATGACCCCCCCCCGCCCGCTAACAGTCCAGGCGGACATTTCCACATTCTCAGTTCTTGGTTAAAAAATAAAGTTTTATTGCGTTTTTGATGGTTAAGCCATAGTTTGAATAAAGCTTACCGGCCCAAAATCAACTTCTTGAAGGGCACCCGGATATGAAAGGCGTCGAGCCGAAGCTGCTGCCAAAGGATCTCGAGTGGCTGGCCGCCTTCCGCGACCTGTGCTTCGAGCAAGCCGTCATCCCGTTCCTCGCCAAGCGCACGCTTCTGGGTACGGTTTTCTTCTCACCGAAAATCATCAAAATAATTCCATCTCGGTTTCAGGCTGGCGTCGCCAGTGCGCCCTGCTCCCCGCCGCCGGCGGCTTCGATCTGAACGTGTTCGACGAGGAATTCCCGGATGCCCTAATTGCCGATGAGGCAAAGCTGGCCACGAGGCGCTTGCGGGTTGAGCACACGTTTGGAAAAGTGGGGTTTTTCGGATCGGCCGCGGTACTGGCCTGTTAGCGGGTGGTGGTTCAGGGAAAAAAACAATTTCTGTTTTTCCGCCTACCGACGGCCAGTTAATAATACATAGTGTAATTGTAGTGTTTTTTTGTGGTTTTCTTATTCCTAAAAAGGCACAAAAAAATAGTAAGCAGCTTTCAAAATTCGAAAATTTGGCTGTTTGGTCATTTTTCTTACATTTTTGACCAAAAAAAATTGTATTTTTTTATGAGCCTTTTCTATCTAAAACCTGGGTAAAATGCTATTAACTAGGCTTAGATGGCCGCATAGGACCGTAAAAGATTAAATCAGTTTTCACCCTATCAGCAGCCCAGTATCGAAACCCCCCCCCGCAAATGAACCAGTACCCGGATCTTTCTCGTTTGTGTCTCTCTTATTGCTGTCAAAGTGTATGAAAATCCTCATTTCAGCGGAGATCCGGCACCTATGAGGTGCACCTGACTTCGATGGAGCCAGCGGCGCGCCCCTTCGAGATCCTCCTCAACCCGATGTACAACGGAAATGACGGCTACAACTTTGAGACGATGATCACCGGGGAGGGCGACGACGCCGTGCTGTGGGACCTCGAATATCCATGGTGAGGCACCACTAGCCTTCGTAAGGCTGCAGATAAACCTCATGCAAGAATGCAGTATTTTGCCGTTGGGCCCCCTGAATCACGATTTTTCAGGTTCGTGAAAAATTTCTGCACGGCCGCGCTACATGGCCACATCTTCCATGTGCCCTGCGACCCGTACCAGCTGATTCTGGTATCACCTTTTTGCCTAAGCAAATTTAGTTCCCGATTTAAGGCAAATTACGGGCCGAACTGGGACGATATCGATGACTATAAGTTGAAGAACGCACGGAAACTGGGTCCGCTGAATGACCGGAAATGGTGGGAAAGAGAGGGAAGCGAGAGAGTGAGAGAGAGAAAGAAAAAGAAGTGAGAAAGGGAAAACTAACCTTTTTAGGCAGCGGCCGAATGTTTGATGCACCATTTCGACCCGTCCGATCCAAGCCCGTGCAGCAAAATTGATCTCCCGTCCAATCCGTTCTCGCTTTTTCGATCTCACGCATAAATGCCTTTCTATGCCGTAGGCATAAGACTATGTTACACCGGGATAATATAAGATACGATGCCTTTTAGCTATAAAAAGTTCCGAAAAACAATAGCAACCTTTGATGAAGTTTAACTGATTGGAGACATTGCAATAACGCGCAAAATTGTTGCGGAAAATTCATGGTCCAGACAAGATTTGATAAAATTTAAAATCGAGATCAGTTTGTTTTTGGGACACCATATTTGCGACGCCGGTTCTTGATTTTGCGGGAAGTCCAACCAATAAGATGACTAAAGAATTGACGAACCCTGCAGACATAACAAAATGTCCTAACTTTAAATTGGTCCTGATAGTTGTGGCTGACACCGTTTGTTCATGCCGTGTCTGAATCTCAACACGCATAAAAGGCCACCCTGCCATGGGAGCAACAACATCGAGTCGACTCGAGCATGGGCCCCAAAGTTCTGTTATTCATTTGCCTTGCAGGTATGTTCAACCATCCAAACGAATTAAACGGATCAGAAAAGGCCGGGCCAATTAGCAGAAGAATGGTTTTTTCACATGAAATTTGCATAAATTGCATCGGTTCCCGCTTTTCTAAACCCGCGCCCTTCCCTGTTTTTTGCGTTACGCTTCAGATTGGCGCGCCGCAAATTGTAGATCATCCTTGCTCTAAATGGGCATATCTTATCCCTTAAAACCCGCATTTTAGCGCACGTCACCTTCACCGTCAAGGCGGGTCCGGCGGGTTGCGCTACCGGATCCACGAGCATCGACGGAAATTGCCAAAAAGTACCAGAAATAATTTTTTGACATAACTCTTGGGCCTCTCTTAGATCGGTTGTGCCAAAGGATGGCTGCTTGGCACGGCGACCGATAAATGCTACAAGGTTAAAAGACTCTTTTTTGTCGCTACCCCTTATTCTTTCTACAGCGCCTGCCTGAGCTTTTCAACCACAAGGCGGCCATCGCTGCCTGCGCGCAGCTCGACGCCATCCTTCCCGAAATCCTCTCCGCTCAGGAAAACTCAGCTGTCCACGGTATGTTTTTTCGGTATACAGTCCGCGTCATAATGATAGGTTCACCCCATTTTAGGACAGCTTGTTAATCTAGAATAAGTTTCGGACAAAACGGGCGTTGTAATCAGTTAGGGCATAGTTCAAAACTTTCAAGGCCATTATCCGTTTGGTTAGAAAAGGCTTCTAGATTTTGAAGGAATTTTATCTCAAAAAAAGCCTTACTGGAACCCGCGTCATAAAGATAGGTTCACCCCGAATTTTTCTGCAAAAATCATACATTCGGATTTTACTTATATTTTCAATTAAGTAGCATTGAAGTGTACATGAGTTTTTTATACTTGGTTTGACTCGAAAGGTTTCAGATAATTTTTTGCAAAAGTCGATTTTAACAAAGAAATCACACTTTTTTAGGATTATCCGGCGATACACGTTTTAAACTTTTAGTATGTAGGCGGTCTCGGAAAGTGCGCTTGATGACGGGCATTTTGGTATATAAACGGTTATAGGAACATAGGTATTCACGAAGATACAGGTCTAGAAATATAGAACCTACTGGGGCCCATACTAAATGGCCGCCAATCCTTACTTGCGCAGTCCATCCCAACTTTCTTCGTGTGTGTCACCCCACTATCGCCGAAGCCAAAGACGTTGTTATATACCAAAATACTTGTCTTGAGCTGCTCTTTCAAGTCCATAGAAGGAACTTGCGCTTCCGGTTAAATCCAGCCTGTATTGTCACAAAAATAGTAATTTCTTTGTTAAAATCGACTTTTGCAAAAAATTCCCTGAAACCTTTCGAGTCAAACCAAGTATAAAAAACTCATGTACACTTCAATGCTACTTAATTGAAAATATAAGTAAAATCCGAATGTATGATTTTTGCAGAAAAATTCGGGGTGAACCTATCTTTATGACGCGGGTTCCAGTAAGGCTTTTTTGAGATAAAATTCCTTCAAAATCTAGAAGCCTTTTCTAACCAAACGGATAATGGCCTTGAAAGTTTTGAACTATGCCCTAACTGATTACAACGCCCGTTTTGTCCGAAACTTATTCTAGATTAACAAGCTGTCCTAAAATGGGGTGAACCTATCATTATGACGCGGACTGTATGTCGGCTACGCGGGGGGGGGGACGGGACAGGCAGGCCTTTTTGGACGTTTTCGTTATTTTCTCGAAATTTTCGCAACGGCATTCGATAGAGCATCGAAAAATATAATAAGAGGTTTTGTTTTAGCTAAAAAGAGTGTAATATAAAAAAGTTATGGCAAATACAAAAATAAGCTTTGAAAATCGGGTTGCGCGGCTGTTTTTCGATATTCGCGCTATTTTTTCGACATTTTAAAGGTGCCATTCGATAGAGCATCCAAAAATATACTAAGAGTTTTAATTTTAGCTCATAATAATGTAATATAAAATAGTTATAACAAAAACAAGTATTAAACGTTGTTTCAATGGAGGACATAGAAGGAAATCAAGTTTTCGACATTTTCGACATTTTTATAAAATTTCTTTAGTGCCATTCGACAGAGCGTCGAAAAATATACTAAGAGTTTTGTTTGTAGCAAAAAGAAGCGCAAAAAAATAGTTAGCTCGGCCCCAACCGTCCGTCCCCCCGCGTAAAATTTCCCCCCTGCGTAGCCGACATATACCGTTTTTTCCGGAGATTGCTTATATTTCCGAAGATCCGATTCCCGACAATCCGTTTTTCGAAAATCGGACAGCCGAAAATTTAAATCCCGAAAATCGTAATTTGCGGGATTCTCATCGGAAATCGGTATTACCATTTGTTTTTAAGATGGCCTAAACGGTTATTTAAGATTCCCGGGGGAGACCAACATTTTTCCCAGAAGGACCAGGTTAGCTTAGTAACTGAATCTAAGATGTGTTTTTTTTTTATAATTTCTAGGAAGTGTTGAACTATATTTAAGGTATGAAACTTTTTCAACAAGGCAGTAAGGTGTTTGAAAAGTCGAAAATATGGTCATTTTGACATTTCTAGGTAAAATACGGCTTTTCAAGGTATTATTTTTTCCATTTTATTAAGTTTTTACGCTGGGCGATAGCTAAAAGTAATTACAAATGTATCCGCTACTTGTGAAAAATCTATGAATATCCCCCGCAAATCCTAAAGGACCTTTGAACCAATTCTAGCCATGCTTCAACTTGAGGCCTTGCCAAAGGAGAGCGACAGTATCCGGCTCGGGGCTGTCCGCGTAAGTCGACCAACGATTAATTAAACTTGGCCCCAGAATGGTCAAGGAAAACTGGACTTCGGGTGGACAAGCAAGGCGCCGATGACATACAAGAATTTCAAAGATGACGAGATGGACAACAAGGGAGATTGGGAGGATTGTTTGAATGTAAGCTCACTGGGCCGCTTTTTTGACAAGTTTAGGAAATCCCGTACCGTAGTGGGATTATTAGTCGCGTTAGCTAAAAGCCTACACCACCTAGCGTTAATTCCATAAAAATACCGGAAAAACCACCGTCCTCTAACTCGACACATAAGGGTCGAATTGCGATAATAGGTTTACAGGGGAAGGTCGTTTAGGTCAGGTGTCAAATCTTTCCAAAAATTTGCCAGTTGATAGAGAATTTAAAACGGAACAAGGTGCGCTTAGTCGTTTTCTGCACAATACCCCTAATTAAAAAGTTGTGAGCATTTTTCAAAAAGTCAGCAAGCAAAAAGTTTCGCACACTACAGCACTACCTACTGCGCCAAACAGCTTGCCAATTCGGGCGACGCAAGAGCTTGAAAAGGGGGGAGCCCAGAATGAGGGCCAAGTCAGGATTGTCCGGGCGTTTCGTGCTTTTTTATGTAACTTCAAAGGCCTATAACTTTTTTATTTGGGGCATTGTGCAGAAAATGAGATTAAGAAACTACACTTTATTTTTGATTTTCTATCCACTGGCAAAGTTTCAAGTCAATTTGACACCTGACCCAACCGACCTTCCCTTGTTAGTATTCCACAGGGCCCATTAAACTGCCGTTTGCAATTTGAGAAACAAATTTGTAAAATTTTCCGGGTTTTCCCTTTTGAACACGGGCTAAGTTGCTGAATTTCTACATTAGTTGTGAGGTGAATTGGCTGTGGTTCCGATCCGCCCTTCTGCATCGATTTAAGTTCGTCGTTTTTACGGAACGTTTTAGATGTCGCCTACAGAACAATGGGTGGACGTCACCTGCCCTTCTGAGGCCGTTACCGTCTGTCAGCGTCCGGCGGCAAGTCAATCCACGTTTTTCCGTGCATCTAACCGCCTCATTGTTTCCACCAGGCCCGTACGAGGGGGGCAGGGGGCAGCCTGCCCCCGAAATCCTCGGGGGGCCGAAAAGTACATAAGGTAGTACCCTTATGTTTTTTTTCGCCATTTTTGCTGCCCCCATGGAGGGGGCAGGTAATCAAGAAGTTTGAATTTTCCCGCATTTTTTTGGCACTAATGTTAGGGTGGCAGATGGGGTTGGGTGTTGTTAGGAGATTATTTTGGCACCATTAATGGGCTAATATTTGGAGGAAAGGCCCAAAATAGGCAATAATGATACGGCGGTAACTCCATGGAGAAGTAACGGATCGGGATGATTGATATAGCGATAGAAAGCCCAGAGCAGGGAGAATACAGGGCGATGTAAAGCAGAAAACCCGTATTGCTAGAGCACTTTATTCCGGTTACTAACGGTAATTTAGCGCGGCAAAGCGCTTGCCTGTTCACGGCACCCTCGACAACAATAAAGTGTGAGGAGAAATAGACCTCCCCCCAAAATCGACCGAGCCCGGAAAGCGCATAAGGCCCTTTAGATTTTTTCGCAAAAAATTTCGAAAAAAACTGTGCCAAGCCTTGTTCGGGTGGCTCGCAAACGGCCTTTTAAACGCTATTTATTTTTATAATATAGACAGTTTTTTTCAAAAAATTTTCTGCCTGCGGCGCCTTTTTCCTCGCTCTTTAACACCATTTTTTTATCCTATAGGCACCGTTTTTCAAAAATTTCAGCCTGCGGCGCTGTTTTTCAGTAAATTTATCGCAATTTTCGCTAAGTGTGCTGCCTGGGACGCTCTCAGGCCGCCCCGGGCGAGCCGCCCCCCCGCCCTCCGCCCCGCAATCGCCCGAAGGCCGAAAAGTTCATAAGGGGGGACCCTTATGATCGTTTTCTGGAAAATTTTTCTGCCTGCGGCGCTTTTATAGCTGTTCGCAAGTCGGTTTTTTTTTTCAATCATTGAATCGCAATTTCGGTTCAAAAGTGCATTTTTTGCCGCGATTTGGCCGAATTCCAGGGTTTATCTTAACCAATTTTGCAAAAATTTCGCCTGCGGCGCTGTTTTTAGAGTTTTTACACCGTTTCTCCGCCATTTTACAAAAGCGTCGACCGGGGAGGTCGTCAAAAATTTTTTTCGGTCCTGCCCCCCCCGAAATTTCGGCCCAGGTACGGCCCTGGTTTCCACTGATGTATTTAGTATGTCTGCGAAGACGGTTGGACGTTGGGACGCGCCACCGATAAATGTTACTTGGTAAAACATCATTTTCAAATTAAACGCTTTCTAAGCGCGAAAATGAGCCCATGGACTACGGTACTGCAGCAGCTGCTTGTGAGAAGCGGGGAGCCGGGCTACCCACCATCCACTCGGCAGAAGAAAATGCTGCTGTTCTTGGTGAGGGCCAGACGGCTTCTGCGGTGGGGACATTTGTGTTGAGACTTTTGCGGCTCCACCTAGCCTTACCATACCTCGGTGCAATTTCGTCTTTTGTAACCTACCCCGTAGTCTGGAAGCTCCTGGCGCAACAAACTAATCGAACCTTTCAACTGCCGTGGGCGACTTTAAAGGGGCTCCGAAGTGAAAATTTGCGTGCGCTGAGTTTGAGCTTGGTCAAAAACTAAAAAGTTTACTGCCGGAGCGTACTATGGCATTGATTGCTTAGCGCAAAATGCAAAATATTTGAGAAAAAGCGAAAAGTTTCGGGGCGAAATCGACTTTTAGGAGCAGGTGAAGACTACATGTCGTAATGCCCGTAGAAGCAACCAACCCCTCAATCTCGATGATGCCGTGTCCAATTTTAACAATTCAAATGGCCATAAGATAGAAAATTTCCTGAGGGTACCAGCACTGCCACCATAATTTGAAATTTCCGCATTTCCTGCCCAAATAGCCGAGGAGGTGGACTAAACTTCTCAGCCCCTTTAAAAGGACGCGTTTCCACTCCAACAAATGCAAAAGACCCGAAGCAAAATCCTAGATATGAGAAGCACGGAGATCGTCGAAGGCGCCCGAGACACCGTTCGGCTTGGAGCCAAACGCGTAAGTTCTTTATAGAGATGTTAAGAATCAATTAACAATCAAGATTATTTGAATACATTGGCACAATATTATTTTTATTTGGATGAGGCTGAGCGCATGAGCAAGTAAAATAATATTATTTGACTCCGCTCGAGAAAGAGCCAAGTAAGATTACTTGATTTACTTGATTTACTTGATCAAACAATAGCTTTCTGGAAATCTGGCATTTTATGGATGGTAATGAACTTTATGACATGATAATATGCTAATTTACTGGGTTTGCAGCACGATTGCCTGATTTGCATTGCGAATTTGCACAAAATCAAGTAATTTCGCTGAAAATCAAGTAATTCTCCCAAATCAATCAAGATCAAGTAAATCAATTAATTTTATTTTACTTGATGCTTATTCAAGCAAACGGCGTAAAATAATTTTATAGTTACTTGAAAATTCCATGCAAATAAAGTTGTTCAAGTAAATTTACTTGGTCATTATATTACTTGATTCGTAACATCTCTAGTTCTTTATAATCCCAGCCGGTATTCCCAGAACTTTCTGTGACATCTGAAGTTCGGTGTTAAGAAAAGTTCAATAAATAACTGGCAAAAATTTCTGAAAAGTCGAAAGAGCTTATTCTGCTGAACAAGGTGTGCTAATACTTGCTTGCGCAACTCGTCCTCCCGGTTTTTACAGTCCCTTAAAGGTCCGGTCTTTGGCGATTTTGCCAATTTCGAGGCTTTATAACATTTTTCTCCTTTTTATTTAGCAGATTCTTATCACAGATTCGGAAAACAGGGTGTCCCAGAAAAAGCACCCCTCTAGCGGTCCGGAATTTGATCGGTTCTCGAAAAACAGGTTTGTACTTCGAAACCGATCGATCGGTTTCGGAAAAAATCGGATTGCAGGCGAGAAACCGAGCGGAAATGAACCGATTTATGCTGAATTTTGGATGCAAATCACGATGTGCCTCATTTTTTTTGGTGCTTTGCGCGCAGTGAAACTAAGCCGTTCTTAGCCTCCAAAAAATCGATATATTCCTTCCAGACATAATGGCTCTGGAAGTTATGAGCTAAACCCCAATTTCAGCACAAAAAATGAGAAATATCGTGATTTGCGTCCAAAATTCAGCATGAATCAATTCATTTCCGCTCGGGTTCTCGCCTGCAATCCGATTTTTTTTCCGAAACCGATCGATCGGTTTCGAATCAAAATCCGGTTTTTCGAAAACCGATCAAATCGGATTCTATTCAAACCGGTTTTTATGCAGATTCGATCGATCGGATTCATTTGAAAAATCGATTTCAATACAATCCGGTCAATCCAAGCATTGATTTCAATCCAATCAATTGGTTTCCTCAAATGCCAACCCTAGTGCATTTCCCTGGTCAGTATGGAAGGTTTCGAAGTGAAATTCGATATAGTAAAGAGAGGTATAAGGGGGGCCCGACGCCTGCTGTTGTGCGCAAAAAACTTGTCGATATCAGACCGGGCTCGGCAAAATGGATTTCGGTTGGATGGACGCAACGCCGATGGATTATACGAATTATGATGACGGCCACATGGACCACCTTGATGGAGAGGGATGTCTGGAGGTAGTCTTTTCGGGGATGCAACCGTTTTATTCGTGTCTTTAGATGTGGCCGGCAGGCACGTGGAACAACATAAAGTGCGATCGAAAATGCTCGGCGGTCTGCCAGAAAGAAGCCGTAAGTTCAATGTGTTGACCGTGGTCCCTGACATTTTGATTTTCTCACAAAACAGTTCACTTTCCAGAAAACAGCTTCGATTGCGAACAACTGGCTTACGGAGCTATCTTGACCGGACTAAATAAATCATGTTAATTTTTGACCCGTGCATGCATCAAGTAACCACATCTGCCAACTGGGAAAACCGTGAAATTCCACATGAACAAATAAGGAAGATAGCGAGGATTTGCTTCATTAATAACTACAACTGATTAACCGAATTAATACCCGAAACAGCCGAAAAATCGGGACTCATCAAAATCCAAATTGATTTGGGTAGCCGAGGGTGTTCTGCCACCCGTCGGGCATCGTGAGCTCGGGTTGTAGCCCAAGGGAGTTTATAAAATGGCAAAAAAAATAGGGTTTGAGCGTGAGTTTGAGCAAGGGACGGCTGAAAAATATATTTAACATTTAACCAGGTTACTGCGCGTCTAGATCCAAGTAAAACCTTCACTTTGCAAATTCTAGCCGATCCCGCTGACAAAAAGAAAGAACGCGAGAAAACGCAAAAATAACGAAAAAGACTACATTTTTGGCTAAGTCAAGGCTCATTTGCATCCAAAATTGGAATAAATCCAAAGCTTGTGCTAGTAAAGCGATCGCGTTTTTTTAACAATTTAACGTTATAAAAAACATAAGAAGCGATGCTTTGGCATGGACAAGTTCAATGGCCTCTCCATCCATTTCGCCACCCCCATTGACGTGTGCCATCGTCTTATGGTCCAATGGTTGCTTACTTGCTTAAAGACCGTCAGAACGATGGAACGCGCACTGTCACGCTGAGGGTGGCAAACCAAGAGACACCTGAACCAAACGCAAATTGGAACCGTGCGTTGCTAAAAGCGCTCACTAATGAGAGGAGATTGTGCCCGGGGGCAACAACGCGCAGCGCCTATCGCCTATCTGTGCACTGATAACGATCTGTTCAAACTGATAAGCGCCGTTCCCTTCCAGAGTTCTGACCGTCTTTAAGGAGATTTTATCGCATTTTCTCACGTAAACAGCCACCTTGAGCTTTCTAAGTAAGCACGCTATAAAGAGTTTGGCCTTCCGCACCGCTCCTGAAAATTTCAGCTTGATCGGATAAAAGGCGGCCAAATGCCGAGGGGGTTCTTTTATGAGACACCCCTGCATATCGAGAAAAAAGTAGAAAGAAAAATATGAAGATTATAAAAGAAATAAAATAACATAAGATTTGGCGGATTATGCGGATTTTGCGGAATTTGATGCGGAAATTCGAGGTTTAAAAAACTTTCGATTTTTGATTTGGTGCTGATAAAACCTGAATTCATTGACTAAAAAAAAGATTTATTTGGCCTCGAAACATCGTTCAATAAAGTGCCGCTTTCTTGCAAACAGCGACACGACGGTGAGCATCACAGTCGACATCGTTCCACATGTGCAGATAGGGTCTATATGGTGTGTTCTTGCCGACAATCTCATCGGTCCAGATCTAAAAAAATGAGCGCCATTGTCTCCAAGGCGCCACCATCAACAATCGAGACCCCCTGATTAGAGTGAGTCGTGTTTGAATAATCATTAGAATATATTCGAGCCCGCTCGAGATAAATTATTTGAAGGCATCCAGAAATTATTCAAATAATCGGTCAAATAACGGAACCACATCCGCTCCGATTCAAATATATTTGGACATCCTAAATAAAGCCGAGCTGGACAGGCTTAACGAAGTTTGAAAAATCGAGTCCATGGATTCAAGGAGGGCCTTTGTTGATGTTAGAATATCAACGCGGACCATTTTTTTTCGTGATGCTGAAATACCGAATAGTGAAAAATGTCGGTATTTTTCGGTATTTCAGGATCCTTTTTTTGGGATCGGAATTCGCGGCAGACAACCAAAGCGCTAATCGGCGCGCTAAGCGCAATATACCAACTGCCAGAATGCCGACGTGCTTAAATGCCGACGGCAGGTTTTGTCTCGAAATGCTATGCCTATATCGAAAATTTTTTGCGTCGACATTTTTGTTGTCGATATTTTTAATGTCGGCATCCTGCAAAACGGCATTGTAGTGCTGTGCAACATTTGGCGGTTGATATTTTAGCCCAACCTGTCTCGAGATTTGACATTTATTATTGAAATCAAAGATTTGACAGTTTTTGTCAAAAGGAGTGCGAGGCAAAGATCGGTTTTATTTGAACACCAGCGGGGGAGGAGCCGCTTCGCGACTCTCCCCCGCTGGACCCCGTCTAGGCCCTATGAATCGAGCGCCCTTACACATAAAGTTACCCTGAAGAAAGAAAAACACATCTCCCATGCAAACCTCTTTGTATTGGCATGCGGCGCAAGCTTAAATTGCTAGTGTCGTTATTAGGCCAGCGGCGCAGCGGCGCCGGCTCGAGCGGTGTGTTTCGAGATAAAGCCTGTCGCAAGCTTGAGCGGTAACCCCCTTCTTTAGCCTGCGGCGCTAGCTTGAGCGGCTAGCTTCGTTCTAAAGCCTGCGGCGCTAGCTTCAATGGTTGGTTTTATTCGTTAGCCTGCGGCGCAAGCTTGAGCGGCTAGCTTCGTTCTAAAGCCTGCGGCGCAGCTTGAGCGGCTAGCTTTGTTCTAAAGCCTGCGGCGCTAGCTTGAGCGGCTAGCTTCGTTCTAAAGCCTGCGGCGCAAGCTTGAGCGGCTAGCTTCGTTCTAAAGCCTGCGGCGTTAGCTTGAGCGGCTAGCTTTGTTCTTAAGCCTGCGGCGCTAGCTCGTACGGCTAGCTTCGTTCTTAAGCCTGCGGCGCTAGCTTGTGCGGCTAGCTTCGTTCTAAAGCCTGCGGCGCAAGCTTGAGCCTCCCTATCCCGCGGCGCAATTTTGAAGGGCTAGCTCTGACCTTGGGCCCGCGGCGCTAGCTTTCCCGGCTAACTTCCTTCCGAAGCTTGCGACGCTAGTTTCAGGGGCCGGCCTGAACCTTTAGCCTGCGGCGCTAGTTTCAGCGGCTAGCGTCGTTCCAAAGTCTGCGGCGCTAGCTTGAGCAGTAGGTTGATTCCTTGGCCTGCGGCGCATGCTTGAGTGGGTAGCTTCATTCTATAGGCTGCGGCTTGAGTGACTAACTTCATAATAACCTCCCTACACGGAAATCTACTCCGAAACGCACTTTCCGAGCAAAAAGCAAAACAACTACGATATCCGAGGATCGAACCTCCGATGGTTGGATTAGCACGGCGAAGCGCTTACCACTACGCCATGCAATGCTAGGCAGCACGCGTCAAACACCCGTTTTATGCCTCAAGAGGACTGCCCGGGGCAGGGGAGGAAACGCATCGAGAGGCAGATCCAAAGAGACGACCAAACTCGCGAGTGCAACTGGCAAGAATGAGGAAATTTGTATTTTTTCACATTATGCAAATTAGCCCTCCCGGACCCCCAAAAATCAATAAAAGCGGCTTTAACTTTGTAAACTTGTATTTTATCGGGATTCTGAAAGCGCCATCGGAAAGAGGAGGGTCGATTCCCCCGGGTGACGGAGAATTAGGGCATTTTGGACACGGGAAGGCCCTCAAATCGGGCCTCGAAAGTGACACCCACACACACACAAAGAAACGCGACCAAATTATATAAGGTAGGATGTTCAAGCATATCCGAATCGGCGCTCCGGGAGCAATTATTTGAATATCCGTTATTTGGATTTACTTATTCAAAGTGGATTTGTATTTGCAAACGACGCACTCCCGTGATAGCACAAGGGGATAGCCTACCATGATGCAATTTTCCCGGCCGCCGACATTGTTGGGCTCACCGTTTGCCCACGGATAAAAGGTGAACGGGCTTCCGTCAAGCCATGCGAAGTCCGTTGCATTGGGACCGATCTTGAATTCGCGATAAAATGGGATTTGCCAAAGCTCTTTTCCTCCCCAAAATCCTCTGACTGATGACTTTTTGAACAGATTACTTCCCAGTGAAGCGATATCTCAGAGATTTTTTGGTAGATGCTTTTCGAACACAAAAACATCGCTCGAAAAATGAGCTCTGATTGTCCAGCCGAAAAATCATCAGACATGAATGCTTACCCGCTTAGCACCGATCATGGCGCTAAATATAGTATCGCCTGGGTAACCAGTCTTCGCGAAATCTAAAATTTGCCGTTGATGTGTATAAGCCATCAGGACGAAAAGAAACCTTTATCCCCCTCTAACTCGACACAGAAGTATCGGATCGGAATGATACTCCTTTCGAAGGTCATTGAAACGGCAAGTTTGCAACAATTTTCAAAAAAAATTGTTGCAAAAATGAAAATGCGTCGGGCTTTCAAGAGTATGACGGCAAAGTATGAAATAACGATGCAGATTCTCAAAAGTTACTTTCGAAAATATGATTTTTCGAAAAAATATTACCAGTAACTTTTTTTTGCGAAAAAGGATGTTCTTAAAATTATCACCGGCCTCCCACCCACCAATGATGACGTCATTTTCCTCATTGGAAGTCACAGACGATATGGTAGCGCCGAGGGCCCGGCACTGCTCTTCTGCATTTGCAAAGTCGATGTTGTAGACGAGCTGATCGTGGATATTCTTTTATGATAATCTGTTGTGGAACCTTGTAGCAGCTTTTCGTCGCTGTTGCATACATCCACTCGGTTTCGCAAGGGGCCACTTGAGGACCATTCTGTAATACGCAAATATTGAGCGGGGAAAGTAAGACCCTTGCAGGCAAAAGGGGAGAAATAGACGGTAACCGAGGATTAGTAAAGGCAACTACTTGGATGAGCTTACCGATTTTTTCCCAATGCACATAGTCGGGTACTTGTCTTTCCAGGCGGCCGTGTTCCATTTTCCGTTTTGCATGCTCATCACCAGGTTTCCGGAGTCACTGGCTGCTGAAGTATCACTTTTTTGGAATTTTTAAAGCGGTCACGCTATCCCACATTATTACGCCGATAATGATAGAGCGAGGGAATTTCTAGCCTGGGAGGGATGTTATGAGGGATTATAGCATGTTTTGAGAAAAGCTCTGGCCTTCAACCTTTTCTCTTGAGGAGGCTATAGGAATCTAAGCTTACTAGGGAAGTGCAAATAAAAAACCCAGCAAACCGCTTACAAGGAGACGTTTTTGGGTGTGAATGGAGTTCTGAGTGGAAACCAGGGCCTATTTGTGCAGAATTTTGCGCTGATTCGATTATGTTTTTCCATTTCTGCTAAATAGCTCGATTTCAAAAGGTACAGCAATTTTAAGATCATTTTGTCCCAAATTTTCCCGTCTTTAGGGACCATTATATTGCTTTTCCCGGCTGTTTTTCCAAAAATAAATATCGTCACCGTATTCAGAAAAATTTTCTTTATCGAATGAGCTATTTAACTCAAAAATTGTTGAAAACCGAAAAAATCGACGATAC